TCGTTACACTGATTTACTGGTAGTCTCGAAACCCTACTCATTTACGATTTCATTGTAAACCAAAGAAGGATTGCCGCGAAGTGGAGTGAAGACAGTCGGGTTGTGCCAAGAGTTACTCGTCTCATGGGATTATCAGAGCCGCAGGACTGTGAGCTGAGGACTTCTTCGTGCAATCCAACGGTCTTCACTTCACTCCGCGGCAATCCTTATTCGGTTTCCGGTGAGACCAATTCACGAATTCCTTACAATCAAATTTACCTTCAAAATGGAAAGTTGAGTCACAAATATGGGCACATCCAGGTGCACAGATGCCCTCTAATACATCTCATAATTTTTATAATTTTTGTTTTTATATATTTTTATACTATAGTTTAAATATAAATATATATAATAATGTAATCATATTTTGCCTTTGTTTTGTCAGATTATTTGTTTAGACTGAGATAGAGAAATCCTCACAAGTACCTAAAAATTTGACAGTCGTCTTTGTTCCCACATAAAATGTTAAGTCTTCCTTCGAAATACACCTTCGTTATTATGTTTCCCCATAACCTTAAGATGGCTTTTTGAGTATAATTGTAGCATTTTCCCCTTCCAAAATTTAATGTCTCGTTTTAGTTGGGGGAGAGTTTATAGACGACTCGCTTTCTGACGACCTTGACCAGTTTACCTTGAAGATCGACATGGAGAATGGTTTTGTCGTGCAAAACCCGAGCATCAAAGACCCAATTTTGACGCGTCCTTTGCACCACTGGACCTCAGCCGAAGGTTGCCTACGCGAGATATGCGGCAGCCTCTCGCCGGCCACTTCTTCAGACTCTGCGACCGGCTCGGTTTCCCTACCCTCTTCACCGCCGGCATCGTCTTCCGGTCGGCACCTCGAGACCATTTGTTCCAGCGTTGAAGCGCCGGTTACCTCCAGTTCCGGCCCCGGATCTGGAGTCACCGAATGCGAAAGGCTCTTGACGGCGGAGGGTTTGAAGCGGTTGTCAAACCGAAGGGAGGAGAAAAGGGGGCTGGGCAAGAACATGAGTAGTCAAGGTGAATGTCGACCTGCGCTTCGTTCTCCGCTT